ATTGTATGCATTCGTCAATGTTTTGTTTGTCTTTGTATTTTTGTATGTATGTTTGTATATGTGTATGTATGTATGTTTGTTTGTTTGTTTTATGTATGTATGTATGTTTGTTTGTATGTTTGTTTGTATGCATGTATGTATGTATGTATGTATGCATGTATGTATGTATGTGTGGGTATGTTTGTATGTGTGTAAGCATATATTAAATATTAAATATATTATATATATATATATATATATATATATATATATGTATGTATGTGTGTTCAATTGTTTGTTTGTATATATGTATGTACGTTTGTTTATTTGTATGTCTGTTTATATGTTCTTCCGACTGGGACGACTGATACCAAGTTGGACACAACGACAACAACAACAACAACAACGACAACAACAACAACAACAACAACGACAACAACAACAACGTAGAAAAGTGTTGAGAATTTAATCAGTCTGTCTGAAGCGGAAAAAAATGGCCAATATATCATTTGGACAACACAGCCAGCCAATAAAATAAATATTTATTAACTTTTTCGTGTCCTAGCTGTAGTAGCAGCAGCAGCAGCAGCAGTAGTAGTAGTTGTAGTAGTAGCAGTAGTAGTAGTAGTAGTAGTAATAGTAGTAGTAGTACCAGTAGCAGTAGTAGAAGTAGTAGTAGAAGTAATAGTAGTAGCAGCAGCAGTAGTAGTAGAAGAAAGCTAAGTAGTAGTAGTTGTTGTATAGTATTAATGTTGTTGATACGTCTGCAAAATATCATTGTGTGTATGTGTATGTGTTTGTGTGATGGGTTTGCGTGTGTGTTTGTGTGTGCGTGTGTATATATGTGTGTGTGTGCGTGTGCGTGTGTGTGTGTGTGGGTTTGTGGGTTTGGTGTGTGATGGGAGTGTGTTTATTAGTTGATTAGTCTGCAGCAATAGACAGTTCGAAAGATATAAATCATCCTTGCATGAATGAGAAACTATATGACATCTACAACAATAACATTGCTAATTTTAAATTTCTAGAAACAACAACAATAATAATAATAACAGCATCTTTAACATCTTCGACAACAAACCAACCAACCAACTAATTAGCCGATCAACCAGTCAACCAATCAACCAACCAACCAGCCAACAAACCAACCAACCAATCAGCCAACCAGACCAACCAATCAACCAACCAAACAACCAACCAACTAATTAGCCGATCAACCAGTCAACCAATCAACCAACCAACCAGCCAACAAACCAACCAACCAATCAGCCAACCAGACCAACCAATCAACCAACCAAACCAACCAACCAACTAATTAGCCGATCAACCAGTCAACCAATCAACCAACCAACCAGCCAACAAACCAACCAACCAATCAGCCAACCAGACCAACCAATCAACCAACCAAACCAACCAATCAACCGGTCAACCAATGAACCAGCCAACCAACCAATCAACCAGCCAACAAACCAACCAGCCAATTAACCAACCAGCCAATCAACCAGCCAATCAACTAGCCAATCAACCAGCCAATCAACCAACCAAACCAACCAATCAACCGGTCAACCAATCAACCAACCAATCAACCCGTCAACCAACCAACCAGCCAACCAACCAACCAGCCAACCAACCAACCAGCCAACCAACCAACCTTCAAATTCCGTAAAAGGCGTGTCCTTATAGAATGTCCCGGATCCAAAATCAATCAACTTCAACCTCTGCGTATCCAGCTGTAGGATCAAATTCTCATCCTTGATATCCCTGTGGATAACTCCAGCAGCATGCACTTTTATGACGGTCTCCACCAACTGTGGTGGTGTTAGGGGTAGAGTGAGTGAGTAAGAAGGAGATGAGTGTAAGTAAATGAGTGAGTGAGTGAGTGAATGAGTTGAGTAAGAAAGAAATTATTGTAAGTGAATAAATGAATAAGTGAGGGATTGAGTGAGTGAGTGAGTGAGTGAGTGAGTGAGTGAGAGAGAGATGATTTAATGAGTGAGAGAGTAATGAATATTTCGCGGATACGTTGACAGAATCAACTATACTTCTACTACAACTTCTACTACTACTCTTATAACTACTACTGTACTGCTGTTATTACAACTACTATTTATGTTGCTGTTGCAGCTACTACTACTACTACTGCT